CCATCTGAACAGGAGGAAGAACTTCTTCCCTCTGAGGGTGACGGAGCCCTGGCCCAGGCTGCCCAGGGAGGCTGTGGAGTCTCCTTGTCTGGAGATCTTCAAGCCCCACCTGGACGCAGTGCTGTGCAGCCTGCTCTGGGTGACCCTGCTTCAGCTGGAAAGCTAGTTCAGATGCAGATATTCCTGACAAGTCATCTACATTTAGTCAGGTGGATCCCATCTCTTGTATTTTCATTGTCTATCACACCAGAAACAGACTGTACCTTTTCACTCCTTAGAAAAATCACTGAGAAAACACTCTTCTCGCTGCTGTTCTCTGTAGGGCATCCTTCACCTCTTTGTTCCTCAGGCTGTAAATCAGGGGGTTCAGCATGGGAAAGACGACAGTATAAAACGCAGAGATCGCTTTGTCTGTGTCCAGCGAGTAGCTGGAGCTGGGCCGTAAATACATGAAGAGGAGGGAGCCGTAGAACAACCCAACAGCCATCAGATGGGAGGTGCAGGTGTAGAAGGCTTTGTGCCTGCTGTCTGCCCCGTGGATCCGCAGGATGGTGCTGAGGATGCAGGCGTAGGAGACAGCAATGCTCAGGAAGGTGCTGGTTTGTACAAAGCCGCAGAAGGTGAAGAGCAGCACCTCGCTGGTGCGCGTGCTGGAGCAGGAGAGCTCCAGCAGTGGGGGAACGTCACAGAAGAAATGGTTGATTACATTGGAGCTGCAGAACGACAACGTGAATGTGAAAGATGTGTGCACCAGCGAGGTCAGACCCCCGCTGAGATAAGCCCCAGCTACCATGGAGGTGCAGACCCTGCGGGACATGGCAACGGTGTAGACGAGAGGATGACATGTGGCCACGTAGCGGTCGTAGGCCATCGCAGCCAGAATGAGGCACTCCGCATCGGTGAAGGCAGCAAAGAGAAACATCTGTGACGCGCAGCCAACTAAAGAAATGGTCTTCCGCCGTGCTAACAGATTGACCAGCATCTTGGGAGCAATGGCAGATGAACAGCTAAGGTCTAAGAAGGATAAATTGCTTAGGAAGTAGTACATGGGGGTGTGAAGGCAGGCATTGAGCTGGACGAGCACAATGAGGCCAGCGTTCCCCACCAAAGTGGTGGCGTAGATGAGTAGGAAGAGCCCAAACAAAGGTATCTCCAGCTCCAGACGGTCAGTGAAACCCAAGAGAATGAACTCGGTCAGCACGGTGCAGTTCTCCTTGGGCATTTCATTACCTTTTACCTTGTGTTTGGCTTCGTACACGTAGGATTTGTCAGGGGATCAGTCAGTCTTAGTGGGTAAGCAATGCACAAACACATCACACCCTTCACAAGTCAGAGGTAGTGGAAATGTAAGCATCTCGCCCAGCATCAGAGGGGGAAACCAATGGCTTAGATGATGCCCATTGAAAGGAAAGCTTACGAGGACATTCAAGGAGAGCTTTACAAACATCCCTTCTGCGTGGAATTCCTTCCTGCGTATCCAATGTATTCATCCTGTATACAAAATAGGACCTCAGAGGGGTTTTTATTTAAGAGCTGGACCATAGTGCAGGTATAGAAGCAGCTTTGTATGATATATCACTTGAGGAAAAACATTAATCAAGTGTCACAGCTGCTACACATTTACCTGTGTGAATGGTAGAGTAAGGAGTCCAGGCACAGTTAATAACGACCTTTCCGAGTCAGCAGTTAAATTGAACACTGGAAAAAATGGATTGAAATGCTGGAACATAAACAGATATAAAAAAAATAAAATAATTAGTTCAGAATAAACACAAATCATTGAGTTTCAAATTAAATGAAACATTGCATCTCATTCGGGGATTTCTTACAAAATATTTTGTGGGTTTGTTTTCCCGAGCCTGCTTAATTGTTAAGCAACTGATGAAAAGAAAGCCGCGAATATTGTTTTTAAATGTTCAAACACAAACATTTTTAGATTTTCCAAGCAGTTTTCCCCACATTTTTTTTTGGCTGAAACTATTAATTGAATTTGAATTAGACTCAGTCCCCTAGAAAATTAATTCTGGGTATTTATTTTAACTTTCTAGAAAAAGTGCGTAAATTAACTTAACTGTGCAAAAATTAACACACACTTCTGCTGATGCCAGTAGGAATTCTAGGCAGGGCAGATATCTTGCTCACCTTTACAGAAAATATAAGGATTACAGAAGGACATCTAATAAAATAACTGCTAGTACAGGTCAGTTAAATAATCCTGTCAACATCAATGCTGTGTGGACAAAGGCACAGACAAACCACAAATGTATGTGTTCCTCAAAAAAATGAATAATCTAAGGTGGTTCATTCAGGACAGAGGGCTTCGGTTCCCAGCTGGGTTTCCAGCCACTCTGCTTGCAACAAATCTCACCTGCATTTGGCTGTCGAAAGGTTGGTCTGAGCACATCATCTTCAGCTCCATCTGTAACCAGCACAGAGGGGCAGGAGGGAGGCATCATATCCCGGCTCTGTGCGCGTCGGTTGGTGAGAAAGGAAGCCCGGGCGACTGATATAAATTCACTGCCACAATTTTAGATGGTTTCACTTGAGTCAGATGAATCCCCTTTTAGGCAGCTTTGATCTTGTCTCTCAAGATCCTTCGTTCCTAGTGAAGGCTTGGTGCATCCTCAAATCTGAATCATTTTCTGGATGTGACCGTTTACTCTAGAAGACATCTGGGGTGAGTCAGGTCATGACAAAGGTTCCCCAGTTACGTTCCTAGAATAAGGTGACAAATTCCACAAAATCAGTTGTGTTTTATCCACTTCAGAGCTTTCTGGTGAAAGTCAAAAAAGAACCTTTCCGAAAAAATATTCCATAGTTACACACACGTGGCTGTTTCTTCCTATTTTCAGCTGTTGATTATACTCAGAAATTAAGAAACAGAAAACCTAGCAGCTGCTAGCAATTCAGTGGTCTCTGCTGAAGACCTGCCAGAGATTTCAGTTCCCAGATCAAAATCTAGGTGCAAAAGTTAAAAAAACACCCCAACAAATCTTCCTGGCCTTTTTAAGGATACATTCATATTTATTTTTTCTTTTGTTGTATCATGACACAGCAATGCTTTTCATTTAGCACATCTGAAATTCATTCAGCCAACAAGGCACCTGACTTAGAACAATTTCTACGCAGCTCCCTGAATGGAAGGAAATTTTACTCATTAGGAGACTTACCTGCTAGAGGAACATTTCTTTTTCCTGGATGCAGGAAATGTTCCTTTTGGGGAACGTCACAGATTTTATTTCTTCCTTTTGGACACAGGAGAGTGGGATGTTCTCAAGGGAAGGGCAGAACAAACGATTAGAAAGCTGCTGGTGTTGTCTCAGTGGGGAAAAGTTTCCATGAAATAGTATGTTCTGAAGATATTGTAAGCACTCTTTAAAATTATTCTCATTTTTCCTTTGACTGGAAACTCATCAACAGTATTTTATTAAGGCATCAAAACAGTGCCAAAATGAGGACAGACCTCTTGGCAAAACCCCAGACTGTCACCTGGAGTCAGGGCCACAAAGCCACTGTGGCCTTGAAGCAACCACTTTTTGACAAAAATTCAGATGCACCGCAAAGTGATCACAACAATTTAGAGAATGGAATTCAGGCGGTCATTAGAACTTTTTGGTAACGTGATTATGATCTTATCAAATTAAAAGGTGCTGCTTCTCACTAGTGAAAGAGCCTATGTAATAGAGGAATTACACACCCAGAGGAAGGTTTAGAGCAGTTTAACTTGTTACTTTACTACTTCTGTTAAGCAGTAGTTAATCCATTTCATTAATATCAATTTAGTTTTTAAAAAAGGAGCTAATCCTTGTTCTTTCATAGGAGGTTTGTGATATTAATTGACTGTGAATGAAGTAAGACTATCAAGCCACTATCTAAGTGGACAGATACACTAAGAAAACCTGGGTAACTCTTTTGACATTTTTATTCTCCAACTAACAAGCTTCTCTGCATTGCTTGCCTTTTCCTTCCTTCTGTCTAGTTCATGTGTGCAGTGGAAGGCATATGCATGTTCGCAGGCAGGCACTTCAGCTCTTGGTTTCATTTCATCTGAACCTGAGCCATTCCTCCCAGTAGTCTCCAGTAACATCTAAATGGGGTGAGGATAAGTTTGTATGGCATGCAATTCGTGTGGGGCACACCACCAGACCGCAAAGGCTCCAGAGGTCAGAGGAACCCTAAAACCACATGAAAATTCATCTTCACTAGTTTTAGGCACCTAAAAGCTATTAATCTAAGTTAGTTGGGTTCTTTTAGCTATCACTGGCAAGAAATAGGCACTTCCAAAGGATAACTCACCCCATCGTAAAATAAGTTTAAGGAAAATGGCATGTATTGCTTTCTGCAGGTCTCTCCCCCTCCCTACACTGCCTATAAAATAAGCCCAAGCAGCTAGGTTAAGCTTGCATAGCTCAATGTTATGCTGCTGAAGTTAGACAAAACAGATCCTGCCCTTCCCACCCCCATACCCTGTCCCTTGGCACTTACACAGAACACAGCCTGAAGCTCTGGGGTGGGAGTTCGCAGGTGACACCCCTGAGGCAACAGCCTCAGCTGGGGCAGATCTGATAGCTGCAGTTCAGCCTTTCTCTGGGGTTACAGCAGGTGCAGGGTTGGTTTAAGACCTGAGTGTGTTTAAGTCTTAAACATGCATTTAAGTCTTAATCTCAAACCACCAAAACCCACAGAAGGTCTCATATTGGCTTGATGAGCACTGAAATGTGGGGTTAGAGCAAAAGAACCACCATTTAACAACACCAGCTTGTCACACAGACTGTAGCATTGGTCACCACAAATAGTACAACTGACTTGTCTAGAATTTTCTGTAGCACAGAACATTACTAGCAGTCAAGCTGTTGGGCTCTGCAGGTTGCTGCGGATCTGATGAACTACTGTGTCTGGAAGTGCACTCTTAATTACTCTCAAAACAATACGAATAGCAACAGCTTAAAAGATATTTCAGTCACTCAGTTGTTTCGTTAAGAAGCTCCACCCTGCAAGCTCAGGCATTCATTTAATACACCTGCAACTGAAGGTTCTACACAACTCTAGACAGAAATGTCAAAAAAACCCCACAATCTGACAAGAGAGGCATTTTTCTTGAAGTCAGCAGTTTAAGAGAAGTGAAAAAGTAATTATGAGGATTTGTCTGACTAAATATCCTTCCCTACAGAGATAGATGTCTACACTTTGTCTGATAATTGGGTGTTCTTTATAAGCTATGATGAGAAACCGGCACCTCTAAGCAGCAATTCATTTCACCCCAAAGTGAGCACAGATTTTAAGTAGCTTACATGCATCTTGCCTTAGAGCACCTACTTCTTTTCTGTGCCTGTAAGTGAAGCCTTGAGTGGTCACTTCAAATGGAACTATACTCCTGGGAAGCAGGCAGTGTTAGGCAAGAAGGATTCTGTCTTCAGTGTCAGCTCCTATGTTTCTTTCCATTTATACACAGCTCCTTTCTTAAGATTGGAGAAAACAAGTGTGATTTTGTCAGGACAGACTTTCCTCCTGCCATTAGCACGAACAGGTTCAGGGGCACAGGGCAAGGTCCAGGACTACGCTGCCCTGTCTTCTCCTTTGAATTGTTATGTTTGGAATCAGCAAATAAACTTTGATGAAATTGTCATCTGCTTTTTAACAAACTGCTTTTCTACATGGATTTGGATTTTTTTTTTTTTTTTTTTTTGGGGGGGTATCTTCCTATGAGGGCTTCTCTTTGAGAACCACTGGTCAACTTAAATGTCATCCTTAGAAGCTGAGAGCAATTTACTGCTCCACTGTTTACAGACAGAGCAGATAACCAGAACCATCCTGTTAGTGTTCTAGGCACTATGGACACAGATAAGCATTTGAGAAAATTTAACAGTAGAACTAAGCAGGAAATACTAAAAAAAAAAAAAAAAAATCAGAATGGATAATAAGTTTCTCCTCTTTCTTAGAAGAATCCCAGCAATGGAACAAAAGTAATCACTGAGACTTTATCTGTTCATCACATTTGACAGCAGTCTCGTTTTTTTTACGGAGCTACGATCTCCATCTGCCTCCGGCCCAGTTCTAGCTACTTCCTGGACCAGGACAAAGTGGTGTCCATTGTCTACACCCTGGCAATTCCGATGCTGAACCCCCTGATCTACAGCCTGAGGAAGAGAGAGGTGAAGGATGCTCTCATGAGACTCTTAGAAAGAGGACTTGTTTCCTTTAGAAATCAAACTGGTAAAGGAA